CTAACTTGGGAGGGACTGGAGAGGATTACGCTAAGTGAACTAACTCAGTTCCATAAGAACAAATGTATGAAACTGTATGAAACCATTATTGTAGAACATGTTTGAGGATCCAAAGGGGGAAGGTGGGAGCAGAGGCGTGAGGATGAGTGACGGCTGGTGGTGGTTATATACTTATGTTGTTGTTGTTATGTGCCGTTGAGTCGCCTGCGACTCATAGTGACCCTATGTACAGCAGCCCTAAACTCTGCTCTTTCCTGTGCCAATCGCACTGTCTCTGACACTCCCATCCCAATTATCCCAGTCACGGAATCAATCCACCTCATAGAGGGCCTTCCTCTACTGCGCTGTCCCTCCACCCTCCCAAGCATGATGTCCTTCTCCAAGGACCTGTCTCTCCTCACAACATGTCCAAAGTATGTTAGATGGAGCCTCAGAATCCTTGCCTCCAAGGGTTGCATAATTTGATTGGTGGAGGGGGCATTGCGGAAAGGAAATGGGAAAGATCTAGCATGAAACACAATGTATACAAACTTTGTAAATAAACCAGTATAAAAGAAAAAAATATTTTTAAAAGAGAGAGCTAGAGAAATGGAGAAATATACCATGCTTATGGATAGGAACACCCGATATAATAAAAATGACAATTCTACCAAAGACAATCTACAAGTTCAGTGCAATCCCAATACAGATACCAATTTTATCCTTCCATATTTTTTTGATGTTTCCTGAATTATTCAAGATTTTGCCCATAACATATCTTAGTATTTCAACTTGAGGCTTGAATTTGTTTTTTAGTACCTTCAACTTGAGATCTTCCCTTTTTATTCTCCAACTCCAGTTCTTTGCACATTCTTTATCTTTTTCTCAATATAACAAAATATGTTAATATTTTTATAGAGATTACAATGACTATAAATTAATGTAGGGAGAATGGACTTCTTTATGATGTTGGCTTGTGCTATTAAAGAATAAGAGCTGTCTTTCCATTTATTCACATTCTCTATCTTTCAAGATTTATTCAGATGTCTATTTATTTCACACTTCTTTTTAGATTTATTCCTAATTAGTCAGCCATCTTTGTTGCTCTTATCAATGACTTTTTTCCTCTACCCTTGTATTGTTTGCCTTATTTCTTTGAATAAGTTACTGATTTATGTGATCTTGTTATCTTACTGATTTTTTTAATACTAGACAGAATCTTTTGTGTTGCTACTGATTTTAAGAAAACTGCCTCTGTTATGTCATTTTTGTCATGTATGGTGGAATCAGAACCAGCTGACCCTCCAGCAAGTTTTGAGAGGCTATAAATCACATAGGAGGGGATTGTCCTTGTTTCTCCTCAGGAGCAGCTGATGCATCCCATCTGCATGTCTTTGGTCTGACAGCACAGCTCTTTATTACTAGACCACGAGAGGTTCCTCTTACTTGTTGTTATGTTCCATTGAATCAAAACTAACTCATACCTGACCCTCCAGTGGGTTTTCAGAGACAGTAAGTCACATAGGAGGAAACTAACCATCTTTCCCCCACAGAGCAGCTGGTAGAGTCAAACTGCTTGTCTTCAGGTTGACAGCATAGTTTCTTACTTGTAGACCTCCAGAGCTCCTTCTAGAATCTCCTTATTAGATAAAAGCCTAATGTTATACCCAAAAATCAACTCAAGGTGGGTTAAACACCTAGGAGTAAAGTCCAAAACTGTAAAAATCACAAGAGACAAAGTAAAACTGAGCTTAGATGGCCTAGCCCATGGTATTAAAAGGCTGAAAAACACAGCCAGAAATACACAACCATGTGAGGATTAAATTGATGAATGAGGCCTTCTAAAATATTAAATCACTGTGTACATAAAAAACTTTTCCCAACAGGGTGAAAAAATAGCCTACTGACTGGGAACAAATATTTGACAATACCATCTTAGACAAGAGTCTCAACAAAAGTTTATAGAATACTATAGAGCCTCAACAAGAAAAACACTGATAATCCAGTTATAAATGAATGAAAGACATGAAAAGAATTTTCACAGAAGACGACATTCAGATAACTAGCAAACACATGAAGAAATGCTCAGAATCACTGGCAATAAGAATTGCAAATCAAAACCACAATGAGATACCATCTCAACCCAGTAGCAGTGGCAAAGTTTAACAAGACAGCAAACAATGATAGCTGGAGAGGATGTAGAGAGGTAGGAACTCTTATACACTGTTGGTGAGATTGTAAAATGGTACAATCATTCTGAAAGGCAATTTGGCTTTTACTAAAACAGCTGAACATAGAAATTCCATATAACCACTATGCCACTGCCTCGAATATATACCAAGAAAATTAGAACTAAGACACAAAACACAATTCCATCTTGATGAAGAATGGGATTGGTATCTATGTAGGAATTACATTGAATTTGAAGATTGCCTTTGGTAAAATTGTCATTTTCACTGTAGTGAGTTTTTCTGTCCATGAGCATGATGTATCTCTCCATTTCTCTAGATCTCTTTTTATTTCTTGTAGTAATGTTTTATAATTTTCTTTTTATAGTTCTTTGGCATTTCTGGTTAGATTTGTTCCCAAGTGTTCATGGTACTCTCTAGACTCTTATTTATTGGTTCTTTTAAAAGTGATGGGCTTACTTGATTTTCCATTTTCACTCTTTCTTCTCTCATTTTCGTAGTAGATTATTTTTATTTGTTCTCAGTATTACAGTTGATCTCATTTTCACCTTCATTTCTACCTTTATGTCACTTTAAATTTAAAATTAAAGTTTATTCTCAATATTTGCTGAAATGTCCCTAGTAATTTTTATTTGAAGAAAGTGAAACTTTTAGTAGATTCCTCAAAGAATTCATGTGTGGTAAATCCTTAGTCCTTTCATGTCTACAACTATCTTTCTGTAGACTTAATACTTGAAGTTAGATTTAAAGCATTGATTTACACTTTATTTTCTCAAGTTTATAAAATTTTTTTTTCATTGTCCTCTTGCTCTGCATGTTATATTTGAGGATTCTGATTTCTGTCATACTGTCTTACCAATCTGTGTTAATTGGTATTTTTGCATAGAACTGTAGTATTTTTCCCCTTTGCTTTAAAAAGGGAATTGTTTTACTAGGCTATGTCTTGGCGTTAATTGTTTCGAGTATACAGAATGCAGTAGTTAGCAGTCTTTTTCAGTTTGTTTATTAAATTTTTCTCTTTTTTTGGTGTATATTTTCTTGACATTTGTTTTAAATAATTATTCTGTTTTGTTGTTTCTCTTTCAGACTCCAGCTACACACACACACACACACACACACACACAAGTCTTTTGTGACTGTCTTCATTTCAGCAGTTTTCTGACACTTTTTATTTCCTTTTAAAACTATTTTTCATATAATATATTCTTTCTGTTACATTTTCTTTTTACTTTATTCATCTTTTTTAAGTGCCTTGTAAGTATAGTCTTCATTTCTCAGGTAGTCTTGTTGTTTCATTTTATATTCTCATCAACGTTTTTCATTTTTTTTGTATCTCGTTACTTCCATATTTATTTTATGCATATCGAGGTTTTCTTGTTTTTAAGGATGTGCAGAGGGAATTTTTTCAGCTGAAACCCCCCTGTTTCCCCTCCTCACCTCCCATTGGGATGTTATGTTTGGAATTGAGGTGATGATAATGCACTATGGGAAGCATTCCTCATTTTAAAGAAGTTTTTCTTATGATTACTTGGTGTAGATATGGTTACTTTCCCCACTTATTTACTGAATTTGAAATGGTTTTCAAGGTTTGTGGTTCAAGAGTGCCCTCTTTTGACAACAAAATACAGAACATTTTCTCTAATGATGTCATTTTCCTTTGATGGTGGGAGGAGAGATTGTGTGTTCTTTAATTTAGGACTTCAGATTTTCCACTTGATTCTTTTTACCTTCACCACCCAATCTCTGAAGGATGTTGGTCACTTCTTTTTACTGTCTTCCCCAGAAGCTACACTTTTTGATAACTGCCATTTCAATCTTGTGTATTTTCAGTCCTTTTCTTAAACTAAGCGCTTTGATCCATCAGGACTCTTTTTCGCATGTGTGTGGTGAAATTCCTTTTTCCATTGCTGATTTTTAGATTAATTTTAGACCTCCCCATTAGGGTCTCTCCCCTCTCTGCCATTTACATTTATCCAGATGGCCATTTCCATTGAAGGCTTGTAGGAGGTTAAGAGATTGTTTGCTGAGATTTGATGTTTATTTTACTAAAAGTAGTTTGAAGTTTATGAAATGTTCTTGTTTCTGCTTAATCAGAGTATATTTTTTTAGTGTAGTTTTGTCTATTATTTTTGTATTTAGCAAGCTCTGATTTATGCAGCTGTCGTATTACCTTAATTACCTGAATTCTCATTCTTTTTTAAAATAAGTTTATCCAATCTTTAGTTTTTATCTCAAATGCCCTGCATTCCCTTCATTTTGAGTCATCAATTCATTAAATGTTAAAAGCCTAATCAGTGTCTGAGTTGTAAGACTTGTGAAACACTCGGTTGGTTTTCTTCCATTGTATTAATTATAGTAGCCTACTGAAAGAAAATAGATCCTAAAAGAATTGAACTTTTGTTTACATAAAATAGAAACAAGAACAGACAAGATAATAAAGATTAACAGAGTGAAAGGGTTTTTTTTTGTTTTTTTTTTTGGACTCCATACTATCTTTATTCATCTACAGATTTTCAGCTGTGGTCAAAAAGGTACTTGATGTACCCTAATCACATCTCCTACTTTGCTTTTTCCTCACCCTTCTGCAGTTCATTCTCAACCCCTTACCTCTTCTTTTTTCCTCTGCATCTGTACAGATTCTATTTATCTTTCTTTTTTTTTCTATAATTATATTTTATTAATTTTCATAAACATTTACAGAGATTTTGGGCTTCCAGAGTGAAAGGTTTTTAAATTGGGAAAACTTTATTCCTTTTTAGCCAAACCAGTTTTTTTTCTGTTGTTTTTGTTTTTTGTTTTTCTCAGAAAATGTTTTCTCTTTTCTACTACCAGGTGGGTGATTTGGATATTAATTATATTAATATAGAAGGAATCACTGCCAATACCAACCTTGAATCCATGGGGGCCACTCTTGAACCTCAGAGCTGCAAGAACAGCCTTTCCAGTGAAGTCAGTGCTGGTATGAACCCACGCAGGGACAGCAGTGAAGTGACATCAGATTCTGAAGCCCGGCAGTGTTTCATCTCACCGTCTAGCTCGTGTATTTCTAATATGCATCTCTCTTTTGGTCCACATGGATTTGAAAAGGAACAAGGCCATTTGAAGAAAAGAAGGTAAAATGCTATCATTTAGAAGAAACAATGCAGAACATCAAAGAACTTAGTAGACTTGAAAAATTCTATTTTCTTTTTTTATTATACAATATTACTTCATTCACTTTTGTTCCTACATTAAAGTATTGGCCCCTTTTACATTTCTATATATGACATTTCATATCTGATGGGTTGAAAATAAGACTAAACTGAAGTAAAATAATGAAAAGCCATAATGAAAAGCAATTTTGTACTTACTAGATTGGCAGAATTAAGACATCTAGTACATAGCTTCTTACAACTAGACCACCAGAGTCAGCAATCATATCATACTTCATCAAGAATGCATATAATGAATGTACTTCTCTATTACTGACAGAAATGAGTAGAAAGTGTTAAAACAGCTTTGGATAATAGTATATCATCATACTGTGGAGCCCTGGTGGAGCAGTAGTTATATACTGAGGTGCTGACTGAGAGGTTGGTAGTTTGAACCTTCCAATCAGTTCTTTTCTTTCATCTATGATTGTTATGAACCAGAATTCACTTGATGATATTAGGTTATTTTTCAATTTTTTTGTTCTGTATAATTCAACATGAATATACCCTGTAACTCAGCAATCCAATATCTGTATACTAGAAAATATTTGCAAAGAACTTAAAATGGGCAAGTATACAGAAATTATGGGAGAGTTACATAATGGTATACAGTGAAAATGAATGAATTATATTTGCATTTAAAAGTGTCCCTTTTAAATGTATGGTATGATTGCCTGTTTGTTCATTCATCCTTGTGCCCATTTTCTTTAGGAAATAGCCGATTTTTCCTAAGTTCCATATCCTAGCTCTAGGATGATATGTTCGCGTTAGCATATTTAGCCATGGATCAAAAATTAAATAGAGCATACATGTATGAAGGTATGCATATAGATGTTTTCTGTGCATAAATATCCACAAAGGTGGATGAATATTTAGAAAATATTTGTCAGAAAGGAGAGCAAGAGAATGCAGGTAGCCAGTCATTGTTCTCAGTGCTTTGTGCTCATTTATAGTATCTTGAGAATGTCAGATGTTAAGAGGCAGGTTTTGATACCTAAAGACTTACATGGAACCCATAAATAACAAAACCTTTTTCTTTAGATTTATATTTTTTTATTTTATTTTATTTTATTTTATTATTCTTGTGTGCATGTACGGTCAAATCAGATCTGACTGGTACAGGAGGAGATTGCCCCTCCTTCCCCGGCAGAGCATCTGGTGGATTCGAACCATGCACCTCTGGGACTGTAGTTGCAGCTTCTTGCCACTAGGCCACCTGAGCTCCCCTTAGATTTATATTTTGTGAATTACAACATTGCTAGAAATGGAATTGATAGAATATTTGAATATTTTAGAATTTCAGCATTAACTACTTGGAGCTATCAGCTTCTCCATCATGGCCAGAGGTTGCCAGCTAACACAAGCTTTTATATAGTCCTGCAGAAAGCAGATTTAAGTGTGAGTGATTAACATTGTCTGCTAGAACCTTTAAGAGCATCAAGGTTTTGAACCCCAGGTCTTGAGAAGTGAATATGATTCTTACTGGAGGCACTCTACAGATGCTAGTGTTGGGTGCTGTTGAGTTAATTTTCTACCTATATTGATCCCTGTGACAGACTAGAACCACCCAAAGGTTGTCTAGGTTGTAATTTTTATGGAAGCAGGTCTTTCTCCAGTGAAGCAAGTGAGTGGATTCAAACTCCCAACCTTTTGATTATAGTTGGAAGGGCTCCAGTACTCTAGGGAGACGAGGAAGAAAAAGACATAGACAAACTCTCTGTTCTACTTACGCATATATTCATAGGTTATCTAAATTCATCTTCTTTTTAATTTATTATTGATTTCAATGAAAATTTACAGAAACTTTGGATTTCCATTCATTCATTGTTGCACTTTTCTCCCTTCCCAACCCTCCACCACCTAGTACACTACCCTCTTGGAAAAGTAAAAGGAAAATTCTTTCATTGTTTTGCAAACCCTCCCCCAGGTCCACTCCACCATGTAGCCTTTGCTCTAGACTCCTGTCATGACAAAAATACCTAATCACATATCCCTTAAACAGTTTTCTCCCTTATCTGTTTCAATGCAGTATACATTATTGAACTCATTTTTCTCAGTCTCCCCCCAACCCTGAGGTCAGTCCTGTTTTACAACAGTGGCACCATGCAGTAAATTATGATCTTTGTGCTCTGATAAATTTTAACATTTCCCTGCTGGAGTTAGAATTGTACCTCTATAGATAAACTATTTAGTCTGAGTCGAGGTAATTAGTAACCTTTGTAAAGAATTCCCAGCTCAAAGAAGAACGTGGGGGGACAAGAGGTAAAAAGAAGCCTTAAGAGGAAAACAGTGAGAAACCCTGGTGTCACAGTAGTTAGACATTCGGCTGCTAACCGAAAGGTTCATGGTTCTAAACCACCAGCTGCTCTGGAGGAGAATGTAGCAGATTGCTTCCATAAAGGTTACAGCTTTGGAAACCAAATTACAGGGCTTTGCACATATCATTATGATACTTGGGGTTTTGTAGTGATGGAGAAATAGTGTATATATTTTGAAAGATTTGTGTTATACTAGGATACTATGCAGGCAACCAAGTAGATATTGACCTAAAATCTCAGCAGTACAATGGTCACAAGTTGAAAGACAATGCAAACTTTGATCCCCTTTAAAGTCTTTTGTTTCAAGAGAACACTGTTGAATAGAAAACTGCATGATAACGAAAACAACTCATTGCTGTCAAGTAGGAACTGACTCGTAGCTGACCCCCCAGCAAGTTTTCTGAGACTATGGATAACACCTGTTGCAATGACCCATCTTTCTTCCTTTGAGCATCTGGCAGATTTGAACTGCCAGCCTTTGGGTTGGCAGCACAACTCCCTACCCCTAGGCCACCAGAACTGTCTTAAAAACAATGTAGCTCCTTCAAATAACCTGTAATTAAATTACTGTGAGAATCAAAGCATCAACCTTTATTAGAAAGGTTTTCTAACACAAGACTTCAGTCTTTTATGAGAAATAATTTGATACATTAAAAAATATTTGAGTCTTGTGTTCAGGTAAAATGTAAATTCCAACTCCTTTTTACCTCTTCCCCTCAGAATTCTTGGTGAATCCTCAAGGGAGGAAATCTCACTTTTTGAAGTCCTCAGGGGTGCCAAATGTGACTCTTGATTAACTGCTCCATCTACCAGTGTTCAGAAGTATCTAAGATTCAAGGCGTTAGACACTGATTTCAATGTTCACTTTAGAGACCTGGATTAATGAGATCTCTGTTCAAAGTGTTATATGAATCATTAAATTTGTTTTCTGTGGCCATTAAATAGCCTGTGATTCTTTAAGGTTTATAACTCAAACAGACTGATTCCAGGTGTCATTTTTCTGGGCTTTTAAAAATATATTTTACATCAAGACAGTTTCATTGTGTTTTGGTTAAAATTTTAGTTGCAGAATGGTAACAAAGAAAAGCACCTTTATTAATCTGCCATCTTTAACATGTCTGTGGAAGCTGTTGGCCTTGAAGTCTGAGCAGTTTGAAATGTAAATGTTGTGGAATGAACTAGGAATGTGACAGGTCAAATTCTTTGCGTTTTATGACTGTGAAAGTTCCATGAGGAAAGAGAAGGAGTTGAACAGAAGCACTTCCTGTTTGTGAGGTGGAATTCTTACAGGAATCGTTTTGAAGTATTTCTGTAAATAATAATCAAATGTGGCATGTTTGGAACTTAATGCTCCGCTAACTTCTGACCTGTGTCTTGATAACAACTGAGATGTAAGAGCCTTGAAAGCTCTTGTTTCCTTTTGTCCACTGGAACTTTTCTGCTAAGAGATGGAGAAAGAATGCCATAGTGTGTATGTCACTTGCAAATTCTACCTGATGAAAAAGCTACATAATAGTCAGTGACTCTGTTTTGTCCGTATTTAAATACTTAACCTTTCAGAGGCTGGAGAGCGAGAGAATGGTGAACAATCTCCTCCCAGATGATTTACAACCTTTGAACACCTACCTTCTGGAGGGTCAGCTATGAGTCAGTTCTGACTCGACAGCATATAACAACTACTTAAAGCGTATAATTATTACTTTCACAAAATAGAACTCACGAGGATTTCTAACTTTAACTAGTTTTTGTTTCTTGAAGTGCTTGAAATATTTTTGGTTAGAAAGAAATGTTCATTTGAGAAAATGTCATTTCTTTTAAGGAGCTCAAAAGGCAGAAATAACAAAAATGACTTAAGTATAAATTTCTTTGAAAAATAGCTGAGTGTTCTTTGTACCTCATACCAATGAGAGGACTTAAATTCAAAAGTGTAGAAACCAATGACTCACTCAATTATTTGTCTGTCGGTGTATCCATCCATCCACTTACCTCCCCACCCATCTATCTGTGTAATTAATTACTTATACACTTACCCTGTGTTTTAGCTCTAGTCTTGATGCCTTGGATGCTGACAGTGAAGGTGAAGGACACTCTGAGCGATCCCATATGTGTTATACTCCAATTTCCCAGAATGCCTCAAGAACTGGGATTCCTAGTGGCGACGAATTAGATTCTTTTGAGACCAACATTGAACCAGATTTTAATATCTCCAGGGCTGAATCACTCTCTTTCTCAAGTAATCTTCAGCCAAAGGTATTCTTATGGGTATTCCTTTGTTTATTTAAGTGTGGAATATATGTTGTTTAAATTTATTAATCGACATCTGAAAGACAAATTCTGTTCCTTCGTGTGATAATGTAATCTAAAGATCTGTAAGAAGTTTTACATACTTTAGACATATTGTCAGGAGGCACCGGCCCTTAAAAAAAAAAAAAAAGACATCATCATAAGAAAGGTCGCGGGTCAGAGAAAAAAGAGGCCCTCAATGAAATAGATTGACACAGTGACTACCACACTGGAGTTGAGCATGGTGGAAATCATGACAATGATGAAGGGTAGCCTAAGATTTTGATCTGTTGCTCACAGGGTTACTTTGAATCATATGAGAGGTCAAGTCTTTTTTTAAGTTTTCCTTTTTCTAGAACTTGCTCATAAATCCTGATTTGTATGTTCTCTAACTCTTCACAAGTTCATACAATGTTTCACATTCTTGGAAATCTTTTATGATTTCATACCATAGTCTTTTCCATTATCCCAAAGGAGGAAAACTGGTAGTATTAAATGGATGCTAGTTGTCAGACTTTCTTTCCTCACATACATTTCCACATGTATGACATTAGTGAGTGCACTGTGCTAGTTGCACGGAGGCAGTACTTGTTACCTTTCTTGATTGTGTGACCTAACTTGGAGCATCATACATTTTGTCAACTTTTCCCTAAAAGTCAGGCTTTTCTCTTACTTGCCAATTCATATTGGAATATATAATGTTATGATTGTTTCTTAAAATAACTTTACTGCTCTAATATTTTTGAACAACCTGTTTGGTTTTTTAATGTAAGTCTTCTTCCTATTTTATTTCTATTATTGTTCATTTGTTTTCTTGTAACATGAGCGTACTACTACAAAACAATACATCCCACAACTCTTCTTACGATGAACACACAGTTATTATAATAATGCTTTCTTTTTGGACCATGTCCTAAAATATACAAAACATGTTTTAAGGGTATATATAATGTATAATTTTCTCATAACTCTTTTGAACATAAGTAGTGCTTTTATTTATTTATCTATTTATTTATTTTTCTATCTATTTAAAATTACTTTTAAAGTTGTGTACAAATATTAGTTGTCTCTTCAGGTTGTCTGTGCTTATTTATAGATGACATAAAACAAAAAACAACCTTTAAGTAATAATTCTTCTGTCAAGTTCCTCATTTCTGAAGCAAGTAGAACTATTATTATCCTTTAAACAAAGTCATGTGATATTTTTGAGAAAAAGGACATGGGTGTGGTTGTTAATGTGGATATTTTAAAATTTTCCAGCTTGAATATAATTATGAAAAGCTCATTATTACTTGGAGTGTATTTGGTTACTCTTTGCATAACAGCCCCATGTTACTCATTTTTAAGAAAAATTGTTGTTACTGTGCACCACAGAGTCTTAACTGACTCATAGCTGACCCTCTGGTGAGTATCGGAGTCAGTTAATCACATTGGAGGAGATTGCCAACACTTCTCCCATGGAGCAGCTAGTGGATTTGAGCTGTGTACCTTTGGGACTGCAGTTCAGGTTCTTGTTACTAGGCCACTAAACTCCCTAAGAATTATTTTTGTTGTTGATAATGATTGCTGTCGAGTCGAGCACAACTCATAGCGGCCCTATGAACAAAAGGACTGAAGCCTTCCTTTATCTGTCATCTTTTCTCCAAGTTCAGCATTTCCAGAGGCATGTAGTTTAGGAAGTGGATGCCACTCCTACTTCCAAACCTAAATCAATCTGAGAGTTCCACCAAACACTGTCCATGAGGGATAGCCATGATGGTGTTTACACATCTGTGGCACAGTTGTTCCATTATGGCATTTGAAACCCCAATGGCACAAGATTCAGTAAATAGATTACCTCAGCACAGAAAATTGACCCAAGTGCTGTATGACTTAGAAGAATATTCCTCCAAAATATAGTGACAAGGGATTAAAATATAATCCCTCAGTCCCAACTTTTAAATATAAGGGTCTTCCGGGAGGTCTTGTTGACTCTAAATAAGAGTCTGAAATAAAAACCAACCACACAATCCACACAGATCCTCAACCAAAACAAGAACACCATCTTACAGAATCCAGCTGCTTCATCCAACTCCAAAATGGAGACAATAACCTGGTGTTATATGTTGTTGTTGCTAAGTATCATCAAGTAGCAACCCTATAAACAAGCCTGTCTTAATCTGTTAGCTCTACCAAACATTGTCAACCATGTGTAACCATTATGGCATTTGATGCATCATTAGCATGCTATTTAGTGTCACAGCAATCCCAAGTTACCTCAGTACAGCAAAATGACAGAACAGTACTGTACTACATAGGAAAATGTTCATTTCAAACACAAAACTTGGCCAGAGGGCCTGCAGCCCTCGGGCCTGAATGAATTTTAGTAAAACCCCAGCCAGCACACCAATCTGTCATTGGCTCCAACAAGAGGCTTCTTGCCCACTCTCTCACCAAACAACTGGGCCACAGCCAACCTCAATCCAGCACCAAGAAGAATTAATCTCATGAAATATACCCTGCCTCATTTCCATAAGTACCTAATGTAACTTTTTGTAAAGGGATCTAGAAAATTTCCCAAGTGCCCTTATTATGAAAAAATTATTAATGTATGAAACTCCAGTATAGAGATAGCTAACTAAGGCCCCTGGTGCCCATGCCACTGTTGGCACCATAAGACAGATGGAGCTGGCCTCTCTGACATGGATTCCAGGCTCCTGGGGCTGGGGCTGGAGAGAGACAGATAGGAGCTGGGGAATGTGATTCTGACAAGACAGTAGGGAGCCACTGCTCTGCACCCTTTGCTGCATAGTGCGTTTCCTGCTTTCTACTTTCCTCCAAGCTCTTTAACTAAATGTATGAACTTAGGTCAACTGTCCATTTTCACTTAGTGGAAACTAGAACCCTCACATAGTGGTTCAAAATTTTAGTAACAGATTTTTACATTATTTCTTTTTAGCACTAACCTTAAATGTTACCTTGAAAACATGCATTTTATCATTCCTAAAGTTTCTAGGCATCTTAGGGATGTGAGTTGGGTACCATGAATGATCTTAAGGAGCTGTATTGCATATAAGTTTTACATTTCCTAGAACACATAAGTCAGTGAGACTGGCTCAGGTTAGGGCAGGCTTGAGAGCTGTTGTACTTAGGGTCTGTATGAGCTGCACATGACTCGATGGCACATAACAACAACAACAACAACAACAACAACAAATCCCAACCTTCTCATTTTACTCTTTCCATGCGTAATAATCTTACTCATGTGAATTATTTTGGTAGTGTGTGTGTAGATATAATGGTATTTAACATAGAAGGATTAATGAGAACCCATGTAGTGTAGCCGCAGTGACCATGCTTGTCTGATGGCTTGAATCCACCAGCGGCTCAGCAGTCCCCTCCTGTTATGAGTTAGAGCCATGGAAGCCCAACAGAGAGCTGCAATGGGTCAAACTCCAGTCAATGGAAATGAATACCAAGATAATCTAAATAATATGCAAACAGGAAAATAGAAACAAAAAGAAAAGTCATTTAAAAGAAATAATAAGTCATCAGAGACTAGAAATATTTGTATATTGACTGGATGTGTCCTTCTCAGGAGATTACAGCTATCAGTATCCATTTGAATAGCTGTTTAGAGGTTTAGAAAAATTTTGATTATTGCAAATGGCTGGTCCTCTAAGTTCTAATAATCTTAAGTATAAAAATAACAGTTAATAAAAGAATTTTGTTTGAATGTTATTTATTTATTTATTATAATGTTATTTATTTAATTACCCTTGAACAACTTGGGGGTTAGGAGGACCAACCACATGTACATTTGGAAATCTGTGCCTAGTTTTCAATTATGCCTTGAACAACAGGGGTTTTAATTTTGAAGGTCCACTCACAGTGGGTTTTCTACCTGTTGCTAGTGTGGTGCACTTAGGTGTTTCTAAGTATCCCCTTAAAACACTCTGTGGCACTGAGCATCTCCACATGAACAGTGCAGGGTCAACTGTACAGTATTCATAAACAACACCAAAATAACTGGTTGCTCAAGTTGGGGGGGAAATCTGCCAAACTCTCTGTTGAATGTAGGAGAAAAAGTCCATTTGACCAGCGTTTCACTTTTATTCAACTTGGTTGAGATGTCTCAATTGCATTTGAAGGAATACATTAAACTAATCCCAAGGATAAAATATTAAAAAAAACTAATCCCAAGAGCTCAGTTTTACTAGCATTAAAGCATCAAAAAGAAAATAATATTTTAAGTGTTGTGAGAGACAATGGAAAACAAATTATTTCATAAAATTATATCAGAAATTTTCAGTTTCATCTTTTCCGATAGACACTGACTTAGTGACAATATGGTTCATGTTTTGTGTAGAGTTAGTGCTGTTTTTAACCTCATTGTGGTCTCTTTTAGGAGTCTTTGATTTCTGGAGTCCGCTCTCGTTCTTACTCCTGCTCATCACCTAAGATTTCCTTAGGAAAGTCTCGGTTGGTGCGTGATTTCACAGTATGCAATTCAAGTGAAGGTATGCAGTCTTCACCATTTGGCTTTGAAAGCATTCTATTTTAGAGAGGATATTCAGTTAATGAAAGTAAATAATATACCTAAGGGCATTTGGTCAGAAATCTCGAAATATATTTTTCCAAGTTTGACAAAACATTTGTGTCATTGAATCTTAGTGAGATATTTGCCTATCTCTTTATTCCTTTGTTCTTTGAATAAAATACCAAACTAAAATTGGTTCTAGATTTATTATCATATGATCTGAAGAGGATTTTATTTAAGTATATTGTAAAACATTACTTTTATATTCAAATTGCCTGAATGATCTAACTCCTCAGGGGTCAAAACACTACAAAATATATTTTTCCTTACTTTATCATTTTCTTTTTTAAAAGCAAATAACTTGAGAGAATTGGAATAACAGGAGCAAACAGTATTTGAAACATAACTATCCATTTTTTTATGTCAGTGTAAGCAGAGATATTCCTTTCTTGCAACAAACTTCAGTTTAACTATAGTATTTGCACACAAATCATCATTGTATAATTTAATGAAATTTCATATGTTAATTCAGATGAAAAAATAGTTATGAGTAACTCAAGAAGTTCACATATATGTCTTCCCAATTATTATCTCTGTTTCCAACTTTATTTTGGAATGTAGTTGTCATATTTTCTGTAAAAAAATATTGTAATATACTATACCATGATATGACAATTACATTTAAAGGCATATTTGAATTTATCTTTCCTAATCTTTAATAATGGTATTGTACAAAAATTACTTCTCAGTATTTTAAATACTGTCTTTCTTGATTATATCCATAAGAGTCTTGAAAGATTAAAAAAGCAGGAAATGAGCTAAAATACTTAGATTGCATTATGAAAGAGTTAAGCTAGGCTTTTTTTTTAACTCCTCCTTTCCCTAATTATCTTGCTTTTATTATTTTTCTATTTGTTCCCAACTATGTGAATCTGAATAGTAAAACTAAAATCTTTGTGCATGAACTACTATACTACTTTAAATGGATAGATGTTCACTAATGTTTGTTGAATGAATTATACTAGACAAAATGCATGAAACACAAAACAAGAGCCAAGTGTGGGGATTTACTTCCTCTTCTTTCTGGGAAATAATTCTGGATGACGAGAGGTCAAGCCTGATAGTAAACCTCTAAATTTTATTGTTGGACTAGGAAAATGGAGACACAATTAAGAGAAAATAAGGAAGGATACCATTCTCTTGAGAGGACAGGAAAAGAAAATAGTCTGACTTGACCCAGGACTCTTTCTATATCCCAGATCTAAATACCCCAGTCTCCCTAAGTTTAGTTGAGGTTGGAATGTCTTTGAATGACAGCTTGCCATTCTTTTAGTGAGCTGTTGTTGTGTGCCATTTAGTAGGAACCAATTCACAGCTGATCCTCCAGGAGGTTTTTGGAGGCACTAAATCACACAAAAGGAAAATGCACATCCTTTTCCCTTGGAGCAGCTAGTGGATTTGAACCATGTACCTTTGGGATTACAGTGCAGTTTCTTACCACTAGGCCATCTGTTACACTGTAATAGTTGGAAAACACTTGGAGATCCTTTGTGCATTGAAAAAATGATAGCCTTGCCTTCATGTCTGTGATATTCCTGACTTGTCAGAGTGTGGAAAGATTGAAGAGATGATTAAGAGGGAGTTGATTGTAAGAACAAAAGGCTCTGGCTTAGATGTTCTTTAGTGAGTAAGAGTAGGTATCTTTGCCTTATGTACAATTTGTAAAACTTTGCTTTGAAATTAGAAAGAATTTGAAAGAATTAGAAAGAAGTTGACATCAATAACTTTGGTTTTTCTGTGAATAAAATCATGTGTTTAAGTAGTATATTTAACATTTCAGCAGTATATTTTAAAATAGTCTATCTAAATAAAGTTTTATAATATAAAGAAGGTAAAGATTATAAACAGGTAATTTTATTGAAGCTAAAAATGAAATGTATAAAGATACTCATATTTCAGTGGATAGTTGTGTTAGATTGTGTCAGGAATGATAACTGTTAAAGTTAGTAAAAACACCATAGACTATGTAGAATAAATTAATTTCCACTGAAGAAATCATTATTATTTTTTTACTATATTTATGTGGTTACAACACAGTCATGGTGACATTATTAGCTTTTTTGTGCACGTGAAGTCACAACTGAAAAGAACCTGACTTGATCATGTACACTTTAGTCCTCAAAGTGATATCTTTGCTCTTTAACACTTTAAAGAGATCCTTTACAGTAGTTTTTCTCAGTGTTATATGTACTGAAAATTTAAAAAAAAGTTTCTGAAATAAATTTAATAGAGAGAATTTTTACTATTATTGAAAATGTATGAAGATTTATGCAGCACAAATTTCAATTTAATTCTGAGTAATCTTTGCAGTTACTGAGTAATCTATTTGAGTAAGCTATGCATCCTACAAGAGATGGGTTGACACAGTGACTGGAGTCATGGGGGTAGGTGTGTCAGAGGTGGTGAGATTGGCTTGGGATAGGACAGGGTTCAGAGCTATTGTGTACAGGGTTGCTATGAGTTACAGGTGACTTGACAGCACGTAACGTTGATTGCAGCAATCTATGCAAACTCAGCATGGAAACATTAGCAATATCATTGAACTAGTCAAGTCACATCTCATTTTGTCTGCTCAGCATATTGTTGTTGTTAAGTACCATTGAGTTGTGATCTGAACACTTGCATAACTTTCATCATTTCTCCAAGTTCGTAGAGTTTCTGGAGGCAAGCAGTTTTGGAAGCAAGTTATTTCAGAAGTGGATGCCACTCCTGTCCTTTTTCCAAGCGTGTTTTAATAGGGGAGCTCCACCAAACACTGTCCACCATTGGTAACCATTATCATGTTTGATACATAAGTGTCACAGTGTTTAGCATCACAGCAACCATGAGATTGTATAAACACAATGGAAAGATACAATTCCAACACCAGCCTTTTCTGATCTTTAAGCCAGATAGTACTCCTGTGTCCTTTAAGAAACAAATGTCTATAGATCTATATTTAAGTTGCAAATGGGCATACTTAAATGTTCTGTGATTCCTGTTCTTTGTAACGTTATGTATAATTTGCCATGATCCACATAGTAAAATGCCTTTGTGCAGTCAATAAATCACAGGGAAACATCTTTCTTATATTCTCTGGTTTCAGCTAAGATCTCTCTGACATCATTTACGGCATTCCTTGTTCTACACCCTCTTCTGAATCTTGCTTGAGTATTTGGTATTCCACTGATAATGTATTACCATGAATGTTTTCTGTGATATTAATATTGTTGTTGTGCTGTTATATGCATTGAGTCATTTATGGCTCACAGCGACCCTATGTACAATAGCCCTGAAACCTGCTCTATCCTGTGCCAACTGCACTGTCTCTGACACACCCACCCATAATACCCCAGTCACTGAATCAATCCATCTCATCAATGGTCTTCCTCTCTCTGTTCCTTTATCATTCCAAGCATGATGTCCCTCTCCAAGAAATGATCCTTTCTTGCAACATGTCCAAAGTATATCATATGAAGTCTCAGAATCCTTGCCTCCAAGGAGTAGCCTGGTTTCACCTTTGCTGGGACAAACCCATCTGTTGTCCTGACAGTCCATGGTATAGTCAACACTTTTCTCCAGGATTACAGTTCAAAGACATCAATTATTTTCTATTATCTCTAGACATTGTCTGGCTCTCTGACACATAGGAAGCAGTTGCAAAGGCTATGGCCTGGATCAGGCACACCTTAGTCTCCAGCCCCAGCTCTAGTCATTGTTCTTCAGTACTCTGGAGAGGTCCCTGACATCCACCTTTTTTTTAATATTATTTATTTATTTGTTTTTTTACAGAGGTTTTGGATTTCCATTCATTCATTGCCGCAATTTTCTCCCTTCCCACCCCTCCCCACTAGCTCGCTTCCCCCTCCAAAGAGAGAAAAAAGAAAAAAAATTCCTTCATTAGTATACAATTCCCACGTCCCTTCCCCCCTACCCCCCACCCCGAGTACACTTCTCTATGCAACTTTAATTCTGGATTCCTGTGCTAACCTTAATACTTAATCATATATCACTTCTAATCTGTTCTTTCCCTCATCTGTTTCAATACAATATACATAATTTATCCAGTTTTTTCTGTCATACCC